CATTGTAGCGTCAACTGATGTGTTGGCCACTGTATTAGAGGAGTACTTTTCGAAAATGAAATGCTGCAAATTGGTGTGAAGAGTGAGTTCCGGCAAAACCTTGGACGTTTGGGGCTTTTTTATGGCAACAAAACACAAATACCGTTGATGAATTTTATGCCAGTACTTCAGTGGAGTCCAGAGGATGTACTTAAGCTTAGTGTACAGGTAAAACCAGTAGATCCCACACTGGAGAAATTCTGCATTAAATTGCCACTGACATTAAATAAGTTTTTCGAACCAACAGAAATGAATGCGGAATCGTTTTTCGCACGATGGAAAAATTTGGGAGGCGAGCAACAAAGGGCTCAAAAGCTATTTAAGGCCCAACAGCCCCTTGATCTGCCCGGTGCACGCAATAAGCTGATGGGCTTTGGCATGCAACTATTAGACAGTGTCGACCCCAATCCCGATAATATGGTGTGTGCAGGTATTATACACACACAAACGCAGCAAGTGGGCTGTTTGCTACGGTTGGAGCCAAATAAACAAGCACAGATGTTACGACTAACCATTCGCGCTAGCAAAGAGGCTGTCACCCGCGAAATGTGTGAGCTTCTTACGGATCAGTAAGGAGCAACGAACACCTTAGTTTAGGTTGAAAAAGTGGATATTAAAAGAAAACAAGAACAACGTAGCTGGATTGTGTAAGAGACTTGAATGCTTCAATAAGAATCAGGTTCTTATGGTCATACAAAAAAAGCAAAGAAAAATCTATTGAAAAAGAACTATTATATCATATTTAGCACAATTCGCAAATCTAAAGGTTTACCAAAAAAAACTTTATGATTAAATTAACTAAAACTTAAAATTTATGAACAATTGAATAGCTTTTGCAATACACTAGCATAACAAATCTTTTGAAAATAGTGTTGACAGATTTGAGAATTTCGTTTTCTTGAATGTATGTGAAAATTTAAAAGTGTAATGAATCTACGCTTATTCGTTTCAACTAGCTAGATCTACAATTGAGTGATTAAAGTACATGTTTTCCCTTTCAAAGCACAATAAAAAATAAACACTACAAAGTTTGTTCGTTTAGACTTAAAATGGGAACAAAAGTATATTGAAAATGCATTGGGAAGGTTTAAAGACGTACAACGTGAGTGGAAAAGTATTAAAAATAAAACAATCTTTACATAAGTCCATAAAGAATCATGATGTAAGTTATAACTTGTATATTCAAACTTACTTTATACATATGTATGTGAAAAGGGAAATCAATATAATTATTGCTGGGTTAATTTATTGCAAAAGTGAGACGAATTGTAAAAAGGCAAAACATCCATGCTTTGACAGAGAAAAGTGAAATTATTCTATCTAGTAAACTGGTTTAGCGGGTCGGATCGTTGCTTGAAGCTAAGGAATATGACGAGTAGCTTTTGAGCAAAATACAAAATCCATGAAAAGCCTTTTTTTTATTTGGTTCAAGTTTCTTTTGATTTGATTCTGTTACAAAGAATCTGTATAATCAAAATGTGGTTTTAAGGGTGTTTATTTTAATGTTGTAGGTTCCAGTCCGGCGTGCGGGTCCCCAGTCCAGCTGACGGTTCTCTTCGTATCCTGGTTTTCAGTTACTTCCATCTTCATCCTTGTTGGAAATGTCGTTGGTCTGGTAACAAAGTTTTATGTTTTTACCCCTTTTTTTTGTTGTTAACCGTTTATTTGAGACTAATCGATTTGTGTTTTTTTATCAGGGATTGCCGACATAACGCCGCTGCGTATCGTTCGATGAAGAAAAAAAAAACGAAGCTGATTGGCAATTTTACTCACCGAACCCTTTTGGAACCGAGGATATGTGAGTTTTTAAATATTATAATGACTGATAATTTTTACTTGAAAAAATTTTACCTTTTAAACTTCGGGTGGGGCATTTGCTTCAACTTGCAACTGAATACACATTCATTGCGCCTCAACTGTGCTGGTCTGCTAGACTTTTGATTCTAAACCCTGGAACGCCAATGTTAGTCGATTCGACCAACACAGTTTATGTTTTGTGGGGAAGTTTCTTGAAAATTCATTTTTGAAATTGGAATTTCATTATTTAAATAATGAAGTAATTTGCTACTTCTGCAATTTTAATTGTGAATTCAGATCTGAGGATGGTCGTTTTTGTGTAACCAGATCAACCCGGGGTAACCCGAGTAAGAACCATCACCACAAATACAAAAAAACAGAAAAGATACTCCTTTTTTATAAAATTATGGCAAGTTAGGGATTTTTTTTTGTGGCAAGTTAGGGGTGGAATCCCTCCGATTACCTGGAAGTGGAATGCTGTGGTAAAAGGAAGTGGAATAAGCTATAGGTGAAGAAGGCAATTTATAGGGTGATTGTTGGCTCCGAGTTTCCATCGCTGTATGGTGGGAGTAGAACCAATTTCACTAGTGGTCTGGTAACTTGACCTTTCTCCGTCAGGATGTCCACTACGCGCACTCTGCCATCGGTACCGGGGTGTAAGTTGACAACTCGCCCCAACCTCCATTCAGTTGGGGGTAGATTGTCTTCCCTGATAACTACAAAATCACCTGTTTTCATATTCTCCTTGGGGTGCTTCCATTTAATTCGCTTTTGTAGTTCGGCTAAGTACTCCACTTTCCATCGCCTGCAAAACGTCTGATGCAGTGCTTTTAGTTTTTGCCATCGATTGACGATGGAGGCAGGGTTCTCATTCACATCAGGTTCTGGCGGAGCCATAAGATGTCCACCCGTGAGAAAATGGCCTGGAGTAAGCGGCTCCAGGTCATTTGGCTCATTTAAAGAGGGACTCAGTGCTCGCGAATTAAGGCACGCCTCAATCCGGCACAAAAGCGTACTGAGCTCTTCAAAGGTGTATTTGTGAGCGGATGCCACCTTTTTAAAGTGGCTTTTAAAGCTTTTTACACCTGCTTCCCACAGTCCTCCCATGTGAGGGGCTGCAGCGGGTATAAAATGCCACGTAAGTATTTGGTGGTTATATTTTGAAATCGTTTTGTCTCGCGCGTCAGACAAAAAGGCTTTGAATTCAGATCGTAAAGATCGCGAAGCGCCGACAAAATTTGTACCATTGTCGGAATAGATATTCTTCGGGCATCCTCTTCTAGCCACGAACCGAGCAAAAGCTGCTAGAAAGGATGGGTACTAAGGTCACTGGTGGCTTCTAAATGAATCGCTTTAGTGGTGAAACAAACAAATAGGCAAACATAGCCTTTGGAAATTCGACAACCTCTACCACGGTAACTTTTAATTTCAAAAGGTCCCGTGAAGTCTACTCCCGTATTCGTGAACGCGCGCGTAAATGTTGTGCGTTCCTGAGGAAGAGTTCCCATAATTTGCGTCTGAGATCGTTTCTTGTAGATGGTACAAATTTTACAATTGTGGATGGTAGACCTAATCATGTTTTTTACCCTGGGAATCCAGTACTGGGTACGGATAAGGCGTAACATGAGCTGATTTTCTCCGTGTAAGGAGACTTGGTGAATCATCAGGACGATAAGACGGGACAATCTGCAGTTATACGGAATAAGGATTGGATGGCGCTCATTATAAGCTAAGTCCTGGGATGCTCCGAGGCGGCCTCCAGCCCTGATGATGTCGTGCTTGTCGACGAACGGATTAAGCGGAAGGATTTCACTCTTTGCATCGATGGGTTTTCTAGTTTTCAAATTCCTGTATTCTTCACCGTAGTGTTGCTTCTGGTTGATTTTTATCAAGAGATGTGTCGTCATCTTAATTTCATCTGATGAAATTAAACAAGAATTTTCCTGAAATAAAGCTTTAGTTTTCGGGTGAGTTCTTCGATAGAATCTCATGACATATGTTAACACTCTCAAAGCTCTCGGTAGATCTGAAAACCGGTCAAGAATATCGATATCATTTACTTTTGTTGATGCATAAGCGTGTGCCCTTTTTTCTTCAACTTCTGTGTGATAGTTAATTTCTTGAGCAGGCCATTTAGAGTTGTCTTCTTGCAACCAAGAAGGTCCCTGCCACCACAAAAAATTGGTCACTAACTCTGACGCAATCCTCTGCTAGCTAAGTCGGCTGGATTTGAAGCCGAGTCTACATGCGACCAGTCCCTGTTACCGACTTTTTCTATTATTTTCGTAATTCGGTGTGCGACAAAAGTTGACCAAGAACAAGGCGGCTTTCGTATCCATGCGAGTACGATGGTCGAATCTGTCCATAGATATGTTTTCACTTGCCCTAGGTTGAGGTTGTTGATTACTGATTCTATGATTTCCGCGAGCAGTACGGCTCCGCAAAGCTCTAGTCGTGGTAGCGATATTGTTTTGACAGGAGCTACTTTGGTTTTTGCCAAAAGAAGGCTGACCAAAACTTTGTCATCTCTTTTGACGCGCATGTATGCAGTAGCCGCATATGCTTTTTCCGATGCGTCGCAGAAACCATGTATCTCGATGTCATCTCCTGGTGCGAAGTGTACCCATCGAGGTATTCTAATATTGTCTATTTCATGGTAATGTTTGGTAAAATTGTGCCATCGTTCCATAGTAGTAGAAGACACAGTCTCATCCCAGTCTGTGCCTTCTAGCCAAATACTCTGCATGATTATTTTGGCCACGACGACTATTGGAGCAAGCCATCCTAGCGGATCAAATAGCTTGGCGATAGCTGATAGTATCGCCCTTTTTGTAGGTGTCTCGCGGTCCTCCAATGGTCTTGCCATGAAATAGAATAGATCGGTATGGGCATTCCAACTTATGCCAAGAGCCTTAACCGTGCTGGTATCTTCGAATGCCAAAAAGTCTTCACTGAGTAGATCCGTTTTTGGGATGTACTTTAGAATTTCCGCCCAGTTTGAGGTCCATTTCCTTAGCGGAAAACCGGCTGACCGTAGTACTTCCGAGATTTCATCTCTTGCTTTTACGGTAGAGTCGATGCTATGTCCTCCAGCTAGCACGTCATCCACATACATGCATTTCCGAAGTATGTTAGATGCTATTGGGGAAGAACTTTCTACATCGTCAGCCAGTTGTAGAAGTGTCCTTATCGCGAGGTAAGGAGCACAATTGATCCCGAAAGTGACAGTCTTTAATACGTATAGACTTACAGGTTCGTTCGGGTTTGTACGGTAAACTACGGTACGGTAAGACGACTCGAACTTTAGTGGAGGTACTTTCTGCCTTTATGACAGCGTGGTGAGGCAGAAAGTAGTTATCGGAAGAGTTTGCTGAAATACTATCATTTATTCTGGACATGTGGCCTAGTGATTCATATTCAGCTAGTACCCTATTATACTCTTTTTGTAGGACGGTATCCTTTGCAAGCCGTGTCTCATTCCGGAAGAACTGAGAGCATGCTTTTTTAAGAGAAGGGCCTAGGCAGATGTTTGCGGGAAATTCCTGCCTGAGTGGTAGCGAGACTACGTATTTTCCGTCTTCTCGTCTACGAGTTGTCTCCCGATAAAGTTTGTCACAGTATTTGTCGTCTTCGTTCAAGCTTTTGTTTTTTGGTATGTCTTCGAGTTCAGTAAGTTGTTTGTCCAAGGCAACTTCACTGTGATACGAAACTATATTGTTGGTTGGATTGGGTGCATCTGTGCATCCTATTAATATCCAACCGAACACTGTTTCTTGGGCGAGAAGTGTACTGAGTAAATTCTTCTTCAAGCCGCATAGAATAATTTGGGGATAAATGTCTCCGCCAAGTACAAGGTCTACTTCTTCATTCACGTAGAACCGTTTATCAGCTAGAGCAAGACCTGGAAATGCCTGCATAGTCATAGCGCTAATATGACAGGATGGTAGATTTCCGGTTAGTCTTGTTAGGACGAGCACTGTTGCATGCAGGCTGAACAATGGATCAACAGGGGATCGAAGTTCTATGCTGCATGCCTCTTTGACCTGCGCAGAGGTTGCATTCGTAATGCCCGAGACTTGGGCATGCATCCTCTTAGCTGGCAGGTTGATTCTGCGTTTGAGTCGTTCTGTTATGAACGAACACTCAGAACCAGAGTCAATAAGTGCTCGAGCAGAAAAATCTGTGCCATTGAGACGTATATTTACGCGAGCTGTTCGTCCCTCGGCAGGCAATGGCAAACCTCCGAGTGTATTTCTGCCATAAAAACAGGTTCTCATAAAAATACAATCGCAGTTCCGAGTCGGCGTAAAACTGTAGGTCCGTCCGCTTTGTGTGACAACATCAAGGCGCACGCCACAAATCGGAGGAGAAGCTCGGCCAAACACTAACATATGTGTAAGCGCCAATCTATTATTATTATTAACTAAAATGTTTTATAATAATATGTACTACGTTTCCAAATATTCTAAATTATGTTCAACAAGTTGTTTGCTTTATAATTATACACTGTTTTATTCATTATAGCATTGAACGATTTTTTCAACACGGCGGCAGTTCAGCGTTGAATTGGAAATATTATCGGCGCAACTATCTCTATTTATCGCAATTTCATTTGTTTACATTTATCAGCTGTTCATTTGACAGCATATTCATCAAGTCGTTTCTAAGACGTAATTGTTGAGTTTAACAGTTGCCAGCAGTTTCGTAGCAGTTGAACTTATCAGCTAAAGCTGAAATTATTCAAGAACGTAAACCTACCGGTACGTAAACCCGAGTCAGCTGACACGATCTGTCTTACCAAAGCGCCATGTAAATGAAAACTTAACGCCGCAGAATTTTTCTGTAGTTGTAGCCCGTAGCGCAGAAATCTGCGGAATTTAGATTTTTCCGTGTCAGCTGATTTCTTCCTTATATAGATGGTTGCCACTCCGCCAGTTTTGCCGATGGTAAAAAAGTTATAAGTTCCTATACAAAATACGTTAAAATATTTGAAATTTTTTGTTGAAAAGATTAGGAAAAATTTTGACAATGTATGGATTAATCGAGAAATTAAAGACGCTATAAATAAACGAAATGCAACTTATGACCTTTGGAAAAGATATAAAACTGATTTCTTTCATAATCAATTTGTGGCTATGAGGAAAGACGTTTGCAAAATGATTCGACAGGCCAAGGCCAAGTTTTTTGAAAAAAGTTTTTCAAACGGTATCAGTTGCAAAGAAAGATGGAATAAGATTAGAAAGATAGGTCTTGTAAAAGGCAAAGAAAAACAGCTACCTGCTCTGGAAGACCTCGATGCAATCAACCATAAATTTGTAAGCTTTTCGGACCTTCCACTGTCTAATTCTCCGCTGGACATACCAAGCTCTTTAGGTAATGGATTGAATTTTAGTTTCTCATGTGTGGATCAATGCGATGTACTGGAGTGTTTCATTTCAATCAAATCCGATGCTGTCGGGACCGACGGTATACATCCTGTTTTTCTAAAGGCCATATTACCGAAGCTGCTTCCATATATAACGCATTGTTTTAACACAATTCTAACTACGTCAGTTTTTCCTGAATGTTGGAAAAATGCTAAAATTATCCCTATTCCTAAAGGAGGGGGTGAGTTCAGGCCAATTGCTATCCTACCATTTCTCTCAAAAGTATTTGAGTTGTTAATTTATAAACAGATAAACGCATTTGTTTTAAAACATTCTCTTTTATGCAACCGACAATCTGGATTTCGAAAATGGCATAATTGTATAACTGCGCTTATTGACGTGATTGAAAATATTCGTAAAGCTATTGATAATGACGAGCTAACTTTTCTAACCCTACTCGATCATTCTAAGGCATTTGATTCCGTTGACCATGCTATCCTCACATCTAAGCTTGCCAAATTGTTTGGTTTTTCCACAACATCTATAAGTTTAGTAGCTTCCTACCTAGAAAATAGGACTCAGTGTGTCTGCAGTGGGACTTCGTCATCGTCTGCACTTGCAGTGAGGAGGGGAGTTCCGCAAGGATCTATTCTTGGCCCCCTTCTCTTTTCAATGTATATAAACGACTTACCAGCCGCAATCAATGATATGAACTCGCATTTGTATGCAGACGATGTGCAGGTCTATAGATCATGCAAACTCAGTGATATATCTGCCTGTGTTCTGCGAATAAATCAAACACTATGCCAAATTAACAACTGGGCTTTGAATAACGGCTTGTCGCTAAACCCAAAGAAGTCTCAGGTTCTTGTTATAGCTCGAAAGCCGATAGACACGGCAGTTTTTCCAGAAATCATGATCGGGGGCGTTAGCATAAATTATGTGGATACAGCTAAAAATCTGGGAATAGTTTTTAACAGAGTATTAACGTGGGATAATCACATAAACATAGTTGTAGGTAAACTCTATGGTATGCTTCGCGCTCTCTGGTGTTCACAGTACTTTACTCCTCACCATATTCGACTTTTGCTCGTCAAAACATATCTTATGCCCTCTCTATTGTATGGTTGCGAAATTTTTGCCAATTGTGGTTCAGCGTGCAAGCACAAGCTTAATGTGCTCTTTAATAATATTACACGTTACGTTTTCGGAGTCAAGGCTAGGAGCCCCGTTTCTCATTACGCAGTCTCTATTTACTCCATGTCATTGGATAAGCTCTTACAGTTCAGATCTCTTTTACTTTTGCATAAGATTTACTATACGAAGGAGCCTGAATACCTCTATCAAAACATAACTGCCACGAGATCTATGAGAAACTCTAAGCTTCTCTCGGTCAGGTTCAAAACAAAGACGTCTGAAAGGCAATATTTGGTGCAAGCGACCCGACTTTGGAACTCTCTTCCACAAAATATAGTATCGATTGGTAACATGAGCACATTTAAGCGTGAGTTACAGAGACATCTTAGTTCGTAAACTTGATTTGTAATTTGAATATATTTTATCTTATTTTATTTTTGTTCCAAGTACCGTATAATATCTATTTCTACTATTGCTTAATTTATTATTACTGTTTCCTTCTTGCAAAATATTTGTACTGAAAATGTTAACCGATGTGACTAGCACTATTAATTATAAGGTTTTAACCTTGCTGTGTTAGGATTGATCCATAAATTGAATAAATTGAAATTGAAATTGAAATTGAAAACTAATGGTGATTTCGTTTCTACCAAAAAATGTCGCTTTTGATTGCCCTTTTCTCTTTTCTTGTTCAATTCTTAATTAAAGGCAAAGGGTGAGCAAATTGTGTGTTCGTTTCTTAAAAGGTAACACTCTTGTAAGGCAAATAAGGCACCTTTTCTGCCCTTTGAAGCTTTGTCAGGGGAGATGGTTGCCCTGAAAATCAGATGGTTGCTTAAAACGATAATATGATGAAATGTGTGATCTGGAGGACAAGAAGGCAAAATATGCATTTTCAAAGGGTTGAGTGTAACATCAAACACATTTTGCACCGTGCAAGGGCAGCATTTTTTGGTAGAAACGAAATCACCATAAGTATTTATATTTAGCTACGATCCATTATAGCATGAACAATTGTAGTTGAAAAGCCAAGTTTATGAAAAGGCATTGATAAGTGGCAAATCTGTAGTAAGCAACACTGAGGGCCCCAGTAATCGACCAAATTCTGCGTATACAGACTGCTCTTAAGTATACGTTCTGCGTTCTTGACTAATTTCAGCTTAAGTCTTGCGAACGCGCCCAAAGCTATAATTAGTTTCTTTAATACGGAGGTAAATTTTTTGTTTACGAAGTTTACCTTGAGTTTTTTCGTTTAATCCAAATAGGATATGATCGGATCTCGTAAAATAAGTATTTTGCTATTATTTATACAAATAAAACAAAAACCAAACACAAGCTGTTTTGGTAATTTTGAATTTAAATTTAAAAAATTATAACAGTTTCATAATCAACCACTTTTATGACTTTTAGTCGTGCTGCACTTTAAAAAATTATATTTCAAACTATGGTAGTCGAAAAAACTTGGGTATAACGTATAAAAGATATCAATGGTTATGCAGGGTTCATCTTATTGATTAACGTTATTTTCAAAATATGAACGCACACTTTTTTTAAATTTGCACGTTGCACGGAGGTATTTCTGCGAAAGTAATAAAATTTTTTGAATATTAAATTATTATGTTTGTCATTTTCGTTGTTGGTATTTCCGATATGGTAGGAGTGTGATGTAATGTGGAACGATTTTCCGTCATCCCTTGTCAAATTTGGTTTGGAGACAAATAATATTTTCCTAAGTAAAATTCGTTATAACTTTGTACGAAATTGGCAGTGAAATACAGAACAAAAGCAACAAAATTTAGAAAAATTGTATTCAACTAAGTCTGATTGAGGTTTTAGTTCACTTAAGCAATGTGTATTTCTTATAACTGTTACTTTTGCTATTTTTGTTGTAGGTTCATATGAAAATATGGCACTTACTAGACAAAATAGAGCAAAAATCAGGGCGATCGACCAAATATTTTAATAAATGTAAGCAGACAAAAATTACACTTTGTAAATGCTAACTTTGACAATTTTTATGAACAAAAACTTTGTTCATTCGGCCTTCCTCCGTCTTCTATCTATAAAAAATGAAAGGCTGGAATATTTTCACCCGATTTCTAAAAAAAAAAAACGTTGCGCATATTTGCGAGTTTTAACGTAAACTTATATAGTAATAATGGCATTTATGGTATTTTCAATTCGTTTTTAGGGTTAGGTTTATATGGGAGGTATGCTTTAAAATAAATCGATCACGCCAATTTTGAATTTTTTTCTTGATTTATATCCATAAATGTTGCACGCAGAAAATTGAGGTTCTACACCGATTCCTTCTAATTTTTTCTAAAAAATGAACCACTGTGCGTTGTCCTGGAAGCTTGGTACCCCATACCAAGAATGGGGAAATAAAAATCTGGAAAATAATACAAAATAATGAAGAAGTAAATACTTTTTTGATATAAATCACGATTTGAAATTTTGCCTGTTTAATGGCTACGAAACAGCTTTTGTGAATTGCGCTATATGCGTGACCGAGGCATTTTAATGGATAATGGATAATCAGTTTTAAAAAGATTTATCAGTGAATTATATTTAACTTTTTTTTA